GATATAAAAATAAATATAGGTATCTGCTCGGATAACTAAAAATCTAACAACAAACTAGTTTAAATACTAAAGAAGATTACAAATGTAATAATAATAAGCATATTAATAAAATAATAGAATAATAAAGCATGATAATTCCCTATATCGTTAAAAAAGAATGGCAAAACAGTTCACTCTGTCCTCCAACACAGCTCAGCAGTTTTTTTTTTTTTTTTATGTATCTTAATCTCCTTTTTCTTAATTATTAGGAATATAATTAAAATATAATTGTGACAATGCAGTGTTTTTTGATCTGAGTTGCAAAGATAAGGATTTTCCCATTTATCCGTTTTAAGGTCAGCGTCCCAAAATTACTTTGGAAAAATTTTTTAAAAATGTTTAAAAAAAATCTTTTGGAAATATTTTCAAAGTTAGAAAGGGTGAAGTTAGAGTTATTTAATATTAAGATAAAACAAAAAATGAAAAAGAAGGATTTTTGTCCAAAACACCAAAAAAAGAAAAACACACCTTCAAATGCACACAAAGACACGTACTGGAGGCAGCAGCCATTAAACTTTGACATTGTGGCGCCAAAAGAGACTAAATGTTTTTTCTCTCCCACTGAGACATTATTTCATTTATAGCAACGACACACACACACACACACACACACACACACACACACACACACACACACACACACACACACACACACGGCGCATTAATGACACAGAGATCTGAGCTGAGCTGAAGAGCGACAGACAGCTCGTTAAGATTGTCATCACGCTGAGGCCTGAACCTTGTTAGTGCAACACACAGCAAAATACAGAACAACAGACACACACTCACACACACAGACTTTAAAAAAAACACTCCTACTCTTAAAAAACACACAGAGAATGTTTTTTTAAGACATGCTGGGTTTTGGTCTTGGTCATTGTTACTCAGACTGAATAGAAAACCCTGAGAGGTCTAGGTGTGCGCCTGAGTGTGTTGCAGGGGGGTGCGGGGTTGTAATGGCGGAAGCCTGCATGTATATGATATTCGCTTATGGTGAAATAACGCAATCAATTAGATTTTACTCATCCTTTTATTTGTCAAAAACAAAGTACATATTGTTTATAATTGGCTGATTTATTATTTATCTTATTAAACATTTTTGGAAAGACCCTAAAATGAAATTAATACAATAAAGCAATGGCCAATTTGAACTCATCACTATGAATTTGTTGCAATTTGAAAACAAATTTCCAACACAGAACACAAAATGTTCAATTTTACCTCCAGATATAGAAATATAAAATTAAATATTCTTTTCATTTAACAAAATAAATACATATTTACAGTTAAATATCTGGACCAAATATACAATATTATAATACTTACATTACATACCTTAATATATAAACAATATAATTAATATTAATAACATATTCATCTTTTACATTTATTTTTTTACCTTCACAAAAAAGGCTATTATACCATATTTATGGTGTATAATGCATGATTCCATGAGGGTAAAACACTACTTCTTTTTCTGTTTACTACTTTTATTAAACATAAACAATTTTTTGTTTTTTTGTTGTTTTTTTTGCACCTTAGTGAGAATTCTACAAAATACTTTTATATTACCAGCAATTTAAACCCCATATTTTTATTGTATTTCACTGTAATTACGTTTCTTTGATTAAAAAAAATGCAACAGTTTGGTTAAGATTATTTTGTTATTTTTAAATAAATTAAGATAAAAACTATTTAACGTATTTTCTATTTGTGATTAAAATGATTTCATCATGTAGGATGTAGAGCCCTTGAAAGGATGGTCAGCAAAATATAATCAAATGAACTATTAACAAATATTATTATACATAGCTTTATCTTTTATTCTGAGCTATAAATTATAAAAGAACATTAATAATCGAAGACAACCTAAATTCATCCTGCAGACTCACATTTGACGTTTCCGTCTGTCCGTCTGCTCAGACACGCATTCACTCACACACAGAAAAAAGAACCTTTCTGTCTCTCTTTCACTCTCTCTCTAATTGGATTGAGACATCAGGAGGTGTCAATCAAGCGTCTTTGTAAACGACAATCTCCTCAAAAAGCCATTATGTACACCAATGGCCCCTAGGGGCCCAGGCATATACTCGTACTCACAGAAGAACGCGCACACACACTGACAGTGTGAAAGGAGAGGAAGGTAATAATTAGTTGCTCTGGGGTTGATGGATCTCTTGACACCTCAAGGCCTCAAGAAAATATTCTCACAGCTCTGGGCCTTGCATATCTGCATGGGTGTGTGTGTTTGATTAAAACTCTGACCTGTCCCGAACCACAACCGAGAAGACCTCAGGCAAAGGAAAGAACAGTGGCTGGTTTCCTGTTCTGCAGCAGATTGAAGTGACAAACCCAGACTGAGACCCAGTGATGATTGCTTTCCTTTGTTAATGCAATAGCATTTTTTAAATTTAGCATTGATCGAGTGCAGCGATAGAGACTTATTTTCATATTTTCCTTCTTTAGATTTGTCAGGTTGCTTTTGAACTATGGAGAAAAAAATAAATAAACACCAGAAAGGCCAGTTGGGAAAAAAAGGATGTGTTTTCTTGGAATATAATAATTGAATTGATTTTGCTCTTATTTGGGACCATATATAAATGATAAATACGAGTCATATTTTATGTTTTTTGCAAAGTAAATAAACAAGTTAGAGCTTGTAGCGCATAAAACGAAATAGTAGGGGTTTAAATGCTCTACAGACCTCTTGGAAAGTGATTAACGTTTACTAAATCTATGTCACTACAAGGTGTGCATTCTGCCCGAAGATGCAGGTGAACTGCACTCTGATTTAGAGTTTACAAAGAATTTTTTTTTCTTTTTATCAGGATGAAGCTTGGTGAAATCCAACACGCTGCCTCAGATTATAATGTTACAGCTGCTGGGACAACCTATGATATAAACTAGCAGCTGCAGACATGTTTCAAAAACACTGTCAGACTGAGTTTAGTTACCAGAGCTGCAGCCATGGTTGATCTGAGTGGCAAGCTGACTCTGCTGCTCAGTGTTCAGCCTGGGAAACACAAAATCATTGAAACTGAGGGAATCATGTCATGAGAAAATTAGCCCAATGGAGGGAAGAATTTATAAGTGATGAAACTTGAAGTTTGGAATCATGGAAACAGAAAAAAATACCTTAAGAACTCAAGAAAATACTTCTGCAGGTGTCTGCAGGTCCAGATGGACAGTAGTTTGGTAAACATATCCGAAGATAAACGGAAAATGCATAAGAAATTAACTGTACATATTTGAATGGGTTAAAATTAGAAATGTATGATTGACGTGTCATGTTTCAAGTAAAGAATAAAGTTGGCTTTTTCCTGAAAATGTTTAGTTGTAATTTAAAATACCTATAAAATTTTAAGGAGACAAATATTTTTAATTTTATAAATGTAAGCCAAGATTTTAAAAACTTTTTAGAAAAACAAGTTTTTAAATCATTTCTAGCACGATTCTTTTAATGTTGGTTTTAATTTCTCCGTAGTTTGTATTCAAACGGAATTTTGCTTTAGAAATCTTTGAAGATGCTGATGCTGTCCGTCAGAACAGACTGTTTAAAAAAGAGGGACGACTTATCACCCTGTTGAATGATTCACTAAAGTGTAGGAAAGTGTTTCCCGGTGAACTTGAATGTTTTAAATACCTGGCTATCCAAGTAAAGGGCTCTGTCTGTGACATGTTTCTGAATGGTGTACAGGTTGACAACCCTGAAGACAAAGATACAAAATAGCAGTGTGATATACTTAAAAATGTTGGTCAGACTCAACAGTCAATGGTGATGATCCAAGATGGCGGCCCCGTAATGGCAGCAGCTGCTACAACTCTCAACAATTTGCAATCATTTTCTTCCAAGTATGACATCTAGCAAGCTACAAACTATACATTAATCTAGTAAGTTAGTCTATGACCACCAGCACCTGCTTGAGCTACGGTCATCAAGTGTTTTTTTCTGGACTGGTAAACACAACTACTTTTGACCTTTTATGGAGTTTCTGAGTTCTTCCAGCACGAGTCCCTTAGGCCCAAAATTCAGCACTCACCAAACAGCACACAACAGAGGAGAAGCAAGCAAAGACGGTGTGAACGACGACAAAAGCAGAGGCGGGCTAACAGCGAAGCTAAAAACAACTCCTAAAAACCACCGGTCCTTTCGATCCTGCCCTCCAATGTCCGCTCCCTGGACAACAAACTGAATCACCTACATTTCTTTAAAAATTGAGTTTATTAACTGCTGCTCTGTCATCCTGACTGAGCCATGGCTTAAGTCATCCATTCCAGACAAGACCCTTAGCCTCGAGGGGCTCACATTATACACCAACAGAAACTTCGAACTCAGCGGAAAGACCCAAGGAGGGGGACTGTGTGTTTATATCAACAACTGGTGTAAAAATGCTAGATTAGTCGCCTGTTTCTGCTCTCCGGACATTGAGCTTTTGACTGTTAACTGCGGACCTTCATGTTTACTGCTTCACTGCTGTGTATGTGCTTCCCAGCGCTAATACTAAAGAACCCATGAGTGTTCTCTATCAGTCTACCTCTGAGCTACAACCTGCTCACACAGAGGGCGTTTTCATCATTGCTGGGGGTTTAAAACAGGCCTATTTGAAGACTGTTCCTTTTCCTGTTCCTTATTTTTTACCAACACCTGGACTTTTCAACTCGGGAACAGAACACTCTAGACTTGGTTTACCTTTAACATAAAATATACATTCAGAGGAGCCCACCGCCCCCACCTCAGCTCTTCAGACGCCTATCTGTTATGCTAATTCCTGCATACAGGCCACTGCTTATCAGAGCAAAACCTACGGTGAAGCAGGTGAGGGTGTGGACTGAGGGAGCCATGGAGGCACTCCAGGACTGTTTTGAATGCTCTCACTGGTACATGTTCAAAGCTGAAGCAACATATGACAATTAGATCAATACTGATGAGTATGCCATGACTGTGTCAGCCTACATCAACCATGAACACCACAAAGAACATCATCACCCGGGCATACCAACAACCATGGATGATTGAGGAGGTCCGAAAAACGCTAAAAGCATGGAACTCAGCCTTCAAGTGTGGTGACAGAGAGGCACTGGGGACAGCGAGAGCCATCGTAAACCGAGCCATCAGGTCAGCAAAGAGGAAGGAATTACAGACTACAACACACCCTCCCCCTAGGAGGCACTCTGCCTTGACACAGCTGACGTGTGGAAAAATCTGAGGAGAGTCAACTGGAGGAAGTACCCAAGTCCCGACAACACACTTGGGCGGCTGTTCAAAGAGTGTGCAGGTCAGGTGTTTGGTGTCTCACAGACATCTTTAACACCTCAGTGGACCAAGAAATAGTGCCAGCATGCTTTAAGTCTGCCTCAATTATTCTGGTCCCAAAGCCTCAAGTTACCTAATTTAATGACTCCCATCATGATGAAGGGCTTTGAGAAGCTGGTAAAATAACAGATTGTCCCCAGACTCCCACCAACAATCGGCCCGTTCTAGTTCCCCTAGCGACCAAGCCGTTTCACTGATGATGCCTTCTCCTCCGCTCTTCATCTGAGCCTAGCACACCTGGTGGAGAAGAACACTGACGTACGGATGCACGTCATCCCACAACATCTGATAGGCAAACTGGAACATCTGGGTTTCAGCACACCCCTTTGATATTGGCTGCTAGACCTCAGTCAGTCCGGGTCGGACAGAACACTTTTGATGGCATCACCCTGAGCATAGGCTCTCCTCAGGGCTGCGTCCTGAGCCCCCTGCTGTTCACCCTGATGACACACGACTACGTCCCCAGGTTCACCACCAACCGCACTGTGAAGTTTGCAGACAACACCGCGGTTGTGGGCCTCATCAGAGACAACAATGACTGGGACTACAGAGAGGAGGTGGAGCAGCTGGTGGAGCAGAGATAAATGCCAGATCCAGAATGTGGAGAAGACAAAGGAGATCATTGTCCACCTCAGGTAGAACCGGCCTAACCACGCTCCACTACTCATCAACAGCTCAGCTGTAGAGGTGTTTAGCAACACCACATTCTAGGGTATGCACACCACGTCACTGATCAAAAGGTCACAGAAGTGCTTTTACTACCTGCGGATAATGAGGAGAGCCCACCTACCACCACCCCCACCCCCATCCTCCCCACCTTCTCCAGAAGCACCATAGAGAGCGTTCTGAGCAGCTGTCTCACTGTGTGGTGTGGAGGCTGCAGCGCCTCAGACTGGAAGAAGGTGAGAACAGCAGAGAGGATCATGGGGGCTCCTCTTCCCTCCATTAAAGACATTTCATCCCAGCACTGCCTTACCCGAGCCCGTGACATCATCAGTCACCCCTCACACCCCCATCCTGCACTGTTCTCCCTGCTGCCCTCTAGGAAGAGGTTTCGCAGCATTTGCTGCAGGTACCAAGAGGTTCCGCAACAGCTTCTTCCCCACTGCCATCAGTGTTGAACTGAAACTCCAATCATTTTCTGAATCACACTTGAAAACATCATATTTGCACTACCAAGGTGGCTGATTTTTTCATAATCCCTTTAAATAGAACACAACTCAATGTTCTATTGCATTTTGCACCATATTTATGTATTTATTTAGCACCGCACTGAACCTTTCTATATAGATAGCTTTTGCACCATGACTTTAAACTGGTTGACCTTTTCTTTTACACTGTCTAAGTTTATGATCACCGCTGCACTTTATAAATGGTAATGTTCATTTAACTGTTGTAGGCTGCTTTTAACTTCCACCAGAAGTTTAACCCAGCAGGAAGTTCAACTCGTTACTATACAAGATGACAATAAAGTTTGTCTAAGTCTAACAGTCAAACAGCCAACCCACACTCAAGGACATATTTTGGACCTGATCATCAGTAGGGGTCTAAATATGTTTCTGTAATTGACGTTGCCCTATCAGATCCTTTTTTGGTTTACTTTGAACTCGTCTTTCCCACTGATCTTATTACCAAAAGACATTGGTAATAACAATGAAATTATCTTGGTTTATCCTTCTGCTTCCACTTTACCCATAACTAAGTAGATGAGCAGGTTGATCATTTCCATTCTAAAGTTGCAGACAACATTGATTCCATTGCTCCATTTAATGTGAGGTTTTCTGTAGGAAGATGAAATCTCCATGGAAAATGCTCTAGCACTGAGGACAGAAAAGAGGGAGTGCTGAAAAGCTGAACGCAGGTGGCGAAACAATGGACTCCAAGTTCACTATGAAATCCATAAAGAGAGACTTCACAGATAAAATTTACAACTGAAAATGCAAGATAATCAATATTCTCTGAGATTATCAACAAAAACCTCAACATGTTTGCTCCTTGTTTGCCACAGTCGACAGGTTAACAAATTCTCCTATCTCTAATAGAAGAAATTGTTGAGCAGCTAAGCTCCTCTTCCTGCTGTCTTGATGTTTTATCCACAGGTTTTATTATGGAGGTTTTGCCTTTTTAGAGCCTGATTTGATTTAAATAAAAAAAAAACCCAAGGCCAAAAAAAAGCAATGTTCAAACCATTGTTGAAAAAAAGAAGCTTGCACAAATTGGCCCTGCAGAACTACAGGCCCATCTCAAACCTTCCCTTCATAAATGTGATAATTGAAAGGTTGTGTTTCTAAAGTTACATATTTGGTTTCTTAACAATTAACACCTACTATGATGTCTTCCAGTCATGTTTCCCTACAAACAATCAGACTGCCCTGATTAAGGTGCGTTTTACATTGTTGATGTTGTGATATTATTAGAGCATCTAGAAAACTGTGTCGACCTTTCTAGTATGGCATGGACTGATTTAAATCCTAGCTGACACGGAATTCATGTTAGAAGGGAAATTTTAATCACAGACAAGAAAAATCCCATGCAGGGTTCCACAAGGCTCCATTCTTGGGTCCCTTTAATATCAACATGCTTCCCTTAGCTCAGATTATAGCAAGCAACAAGATCAGTTACCATAACTATGCAGTTGACCCACATCCTTCAGAGTGTTGACTAGATGCTTAGAAGGGGTTAGTATGTAGATGTGCCATCATTTTCTGCAACTAGAATTTGAACTGAGTTAATTATCTTCAGACAAATCAGGAGAGTGTAGCTCAGAAAACAGACTTTAAACTCCTTCTGTTAGTCTATAAATCACTGAAGGGATCAGCAACTCATTACATAACAGATCTATTGTCAGTGTATCAACCTCCCAGACTACTCAGGTCTTCTAGCTCGAACCTACTCTGTCCACCCAGGACTAGAACCAAACATGGAGAAGCAGCATGTAGTTCCCATGTTCCACGGATCTGGAAAACATTAACAGAAGACCGTAAAGGTGTTCAATGTTGGAATTCTCTGAAGTCAAAGTTAAAAAGTTATTGCAGTTATCTGAAGTGTCAATAGCTTAAGTTTGTCGTTTATCTGTTTTACAACTTGAATTTATTCTGCTCTATTTTTCCTTCTATTTTATTGTTTAAGTCATGTAAAGCAGTGAATTGTCTTTGTATTGAATTTAGCTATATCAGACAGAGTGATTGCTTTTTCCTGTCTAGTATCAGTCTAATGAGGCAAACTTCCCCTCTGTCTGACAAGTCAAAAATCTTTTAGCATGTTCTGCCAATCAGAATCAAGCAGCCAGCCCCCGGTACGCCCATGCTCCATAGATTCCAAAATAGACTAAGCCACACTGGAAGTGACTGATTTTAACTGTTATCCAGTCAGTGAACTACTTTCTTGCTGGTTGCATCAATGCACAGAGCCTCAAGCCTCCATGAGAATTTGGCATAGACTGACAGCCATTCGAGAGCGGGCTCAACAGGCTAATTGATGTGAAATATACTCATGAAATCAATTTCAATTCAATTCAGTTTATTTATATAGCGCCAAATTCACAACACATGTCATCTCAAGGCACTTTACAGTTCACCAGATCATCCAGTCAGATTGATACAAAGTTTTCTATCTAAGGAAAACCAGCTGATTGCATCGACTTATTGACTCAAATACAATCCCTCACACTAAGCATGCTTGTAGCAACAGTGGAGAGGAAAAACTCCCTTTTAACAGGAAGAAACCTCCAGCAGAACCAGGCTCAGTGTGAGCGGCCATCTGCTGAGGCCCACTGGGGTTCAAGGAGACAGAAGCAGAGATACAAAAAGCAGCTGTAAAAGGCTGCCCCATCCAGGAGACACACAGCCAGGCAGACGAGCTCCGAGCCAGCTCCCATGTCAGAGGATGAAGAGAGCACATCCACTCAGTCACGGTCAGAGAAACAGGACCACACTGGAAAACAGGCCGATCTCCAACATTTATAAACAAAGGTGTTGATGGCAGCAGCACAGCTGATATTTCTCTCCAGGATGGAGTCACAGCCAAACAGGAACAGACCAGATGAAGCTACTATGAGAAAAAGCAGAGAGAGCAGAACGTTAGAGATTGAACTAACAGATTCTGCAGAGTGGGAGAATAGAGATAGAATGAAGCAGAATGATGAAAAAGGGGTCCCTATGTCCTCCAGCAGTCTAAGCCTATAGCAGCAGAACTATAGAGATAGATCAGGATAACCTGAGCCACTCTAACTAGAAGCTTTATCAAAAAGGAAAGTTTTAAGCCTAGCCTTCATTTTATCAAGCACATTTTATACTTTCCATGCCCCTGTCCCCCCAAAGGCCTTGCCCCCTCAACCCGCAACCATAAAAACAGCCAGAGTTCATAAAGATAGCAAAGTAGCATGGAATAATACATTACAGGAAGGCCGTAGCTTGACCTATGAGCTGCTACAGACCACTCTGGACAGCTTATTTCCCATGTTGACATCATGAGACCATTTAGAGCACACATTAGCTAAGAGGTGGAGAAGGACAACAATAAATAAAAAAATAGATAATCCCTTTATTGTCCCACAGTGGGGAAATTCTGGACATAGTGGTGAACTTGTAAATCTCATTCAGAGGCTTTGGGACACATATCACACTTACAAAATGTTTATAATGTGAATTTAGCATAATATGCAAGAAGGAAGTGACACAGTTACATCAAAACCTTGATTAAACACACACTTCACCCTGGCTTTGCTTCACCTCCTGTGAAGGGAGGTGAAGCATCTTTGCTTTCCGAGAACATTGGTCTGGAACAAAGCGAGGTGGGGGAAC